TGACACTTTTCTTTTGCTTTCGTTGGCGGCTACTGGGGTGGAAGGAGCTGTCTTCGTCGCGGCTGCTATTGGTGGTGGCAGTAGTGGACGATGCAGAGGCGGTCACCGCAGGACCACAGATACGCCAGATGCGAAGCAGACTGCCCAGCGGTCGCCCACTGATGGTGGCAAGTAGAGGCACCAACTGGATCTCCTCGGAACCCTCAGTGAATCTACATCCCGATAGAGCCAGATCACATACTGGCGCACACCTACCGCCACTCACATCCGGCAGGGCATAGAAAGGCTGTACGGAGAGAGAGGGATGGAAGCGGCAGGTTACCTATCTAGCTGGTTTTTCTTGACTACAAAGAGCACACGCATGTCTGCATGACGGCAGCAACGGATTAGCCGGAGGTCTATTTAATTGAAATATCATCTCTGTGATATGAACTTAATGCATATGGAAGTCAGTCGGGGTTATTTAACGTGGCTGAAGGATGCACAAGAAGGGCAAAGACTACAGTAAGAGTTCGGAAGCTCAGATAAATAAAGTAATTATTCCGGTGAGCTAACGGCCATCTTCGTCTTTAATAATACACACATATTTAATGCGAACATTCACCTCTATTCGAAAACAAGGCATCGCCGCACGCTATTGTTATTAATTTAGATTACGTAGGATCACATGTCTAACTTTGGTAAACAAAAAACAGTAATGACTTGAACTGTATTGATGCCGAGGAAAGAGGCGACAATAACCAAGTACCAAATGGATAGAGAAGTTCTATGTAACAGTTTCGTTGCAGCACACGAAAAGACAAATACATACTCCTACGCAAGTACACGCGCCCACGCAACGTAATGTGAACACGCGGTACGTGGAAGAACCGGTTCTGTGTGTCACTTAAGTTCTAAACAAACCAGGTGAATGAATTGCTGACGTAGTGCCAAGCTCTTACACGTACTCGGCAGAGGAATTAATAATATTGTGAAAAGATGACTCCTTTCGTGTCTTTTCTGTTTCATTAGATATGCGACGAGGTTATATTTCCATCAATGAAGTAAGTCATTAATTTGTTTAGAAAGCCTCCAGGTTGATCAAGGGCCTTTCACTAGAGCACATAAAAAGGTGAGACAATAATCTGCCAAAAGCTATCTACTAGCTTTTGGTTAACAACAGGCTGCTCGGTTTCGAATACTGAAGCTACAGACAGCAGTGCTCCTAAGGTATGACCCCATGGCCGTACTGCAGATAGTTGTGGTTATGGAAGTTTAAAACGATAGTTCTGTGAGACAAGCACCATTAAAAAGGGGCGTCAACATACCAACGTTACAAAGCTTGAGAAAGCCCAACTGATATTAATATTTTCTAAGGAAGGTAAGAGGCAAGACGTGGCCGTAAGAGTCCATCGAAACGTGCTGCCATTAGCAAAGTATGCACTGCCCCTAAACCTTATTTTTTTCGGAAGCTCTTCTAAATTATTGGTTGTTCTTCGCTATAAAATGGCCTTAAGCCTGAGCTATATGATAATGCCCATATTCCGTCCCAAAAGCAAGCTGAATTGACAACTGCTTGGCCCCGTAACCGTTCGGCATCGAATACATCCGTCTGGAAGACTGAAGTCTTGGAACATAAGAAAACTCGACTCACTGCAACTTAGGATCGATTTAATTTTTTTGTCTATTAGTAAGCTTACTTTCATTGGAAGCACAGTTTCTTCAACTTCATCGCAGTCGCCAAAAGTGAATGTATAGGAAGAAGATGGCATCAAGGGGGAACTAGTAGGCAATGATGGCGACGACGGCGTCAACTGCGAGGACTCCGTCGTGATGTAGCGGTCGATAACAGCAACACCTCCATGAATTGTACCGATGGCACACCAAGCATTACCTGGCCCACCGGAGGCGATGCAATTGAGTTCATCATCCATGTAAGAGGCAGAGAGTTGGCTGTTTGTGCTGCTACAGCTGTCCACTCGTTTGCGTTCAATCAGAGCGGCAGTCGGGGAAACGCTAACTTTTCTTAAGCCGTGACAGTCCCAGGTTCCTTCATTTGCACAACTGTATTCAGTTTTACTGCGTGAATTAGCCTCCTTGTCTGAAACTGCATCTAAGTGTAAAGAAGATTTAAAAAATAGAGTAGTTAAAACTCTGCGTGCCGATTTTAATCCAATTAGTGGTGAGAGAATGTTCTACAGCACTTACTCCTCTTCTTGGTACTCCGTTGGCCGCTCAACAAGCTGCCTGGTGTTCCGTTTTGGAGGGCTTCTTCCGAAGATGAAGAATCATCAACCTTTGGAGTGGTTGAATCCACCTTAAAGTCCTGCTCATCAAGGTCCGCGACGCTAGCCACTTTCGGAGGGGGAGTATGCTTCGCAGGGCAGAATAGGTATTCTTGACAGGCTGAGCCCTCCAAAGTGAAGAGGACAGCAGCGCCGGAGGAGCTTGCGGACAGGGCCATGTGCATTACGGCCTCAGAATCTGTCTCAACTCCACCGATAATCTGCCAACGGTAAACATGAATCGATTAGTGCAGACCCAGACAAGGGCAATTAAGCGTTGAACTACTTTTAAGTGCCGCGGGCGAAGCAAAAAAGTCATTTATTCATTATTCTTGTACAGTACCTGGCGAGTAGGGAGCACGGCAGGATAATGCGTTGAGTTCTCCCGCCCCCAACTACCAGATGCTATGCGTTCAGGTTCAGGGGTGCAGACAACAGCCACAATTGTCAACAACCAAAAACCGAGTTTTGTATCTGGGTGGTTAGTTTATGCTTTCAATTTATTTTTCCGTTTAGTGTCTCGTAGCTAAGACATAGAACCCGAGTAAAGCCTGAAGGCTCAAATAAAAAAACTCCCCTTCCACATTTACAAGGGGCTTTTGAATAATCATGACAACAACTTAACTTAACAACTTAGTTAAAGAACACGAATGGAAAGTTCACACAGTACTCGATTGTCTCTCAAGGCCCTTAGAATAAGTTTATGTGATAAAAACACGTGATCTGACAAAAAATATTTGTTAACAGCCTACTTTTAAAGAAGGCCTTCTAAGAGATGAGAATATGCAACCGTACAACTGTCAGGACCTTGAAAAATTTTGCAGCATGCACTTGAATGACACTTAGTTTGTGTTCATTAAATGTATGCCATGTTCAAGGCGCACCTCAGAACGTAAAAAGTACACAGGACACGAAGACGTAAAAGATTGTCTATGCAGCTAATTGGATAATGACAAAAAAATGGTAGCCGAAATGGCAATATCTGGCGTATTAGCCGTCATCAACCAGTAATACCCTGCCTCAGGTGTGTAGTACCTGGGATGCGAATCCGGACCCTCAGTCACTGAGTAACACTACCTCACTGAGCCACGGGATCGTTTTCCTGTCGATTGCAGGCGCTCTATAGCAGGCTTGCATACGTAATAAATTGGAAAACTTGTAAGTATTTGCAAAGACTAAAGCGCCGGAAGGGTCACTTCCGAGTTACTGGCCACAATCAACCGGTGATACCACAATAACAGAGCACCCAAGTCAGCTGATCAATTAGCAACGTCCTCACTGATGAGTTAAGTGTCTGTGTCGTGTAGGAGATCGTAAATATTCAAAGAGGAGAGCAAATAAGTCAGAAACGACTATTGAAGTGTGTACACTTCACCGACAGTAGTTTCCGATTACCGATTTTTGGTTACCCTGCGACCGCTTGTGTTGGATGTAGGCCCTCGGCCTAAGACCACATGATAATGTTTATGTTGACCTTGCAGTCAGTGGGCGGTAGAGGCTACTCTCGTGAGCAATTGGGGCGTTAGTCAATGATATGAACGCCCATTCCAGTTTCCCTTGTCTTTGTCGCTAAAGGAGAGTTATGGACGTCAGCAAGTTTAGAGACGTCTATTTATGTTTCAACAACCTTTGCATCTTTAAGCAAAGACAGACGCAGTAGGTGAGAGCGAAAAAGAATACGGCAAGTAAGGCAAAAGATCAAGAGAACGGAATACTAGTCTGACATTCAGATTTGTCAGGTGGGCTGGAGTGTGTCATTTGAAGAAGACTCGAAAAAGTTGAGCGCGACCGATGGTAAACAGACAGAGATATGAGGCAACATATATATGGGTGCAGACTATTAAATGTAAAATTATCGATCGTTTAGCGCCGTTGTGTTAAGAAATCCTGCGTTCTGTGAAATATTTCCCTTTTCAAGCAACAACTCGCAAGGAGACCAAGTATCAGAAATGACCACAATAAAATGGTTTTTGTGGGTTCACAAAACTATCCTAACTAAGTAGTGTTTTGAAATAAAACTACTTATGGCCGTTAGAAATGTCTGCAATGGAAATCTGACTTGCCGTCTAAAAGAAAGTAAAGAAATAAGTAGGTATTTATAGTTAAAAGGCTGATGTTTTGAGAACTTCAATCTCCTCTGTTAAGGTACTACGTGCATTTTCCCTTCTATGCTAATGCCGAAAAAGTTTTAGTAATATTTGGGAGGTTTGTCGATTTAGTTAATTAAGTTGACCCAACTGTGAAAAAACTCGCGGCATTCGGCGGGATTCGAACCCAAATAGGAGGGAAGGCCTTCTATGCAAGCCAACGCTCTACCGCTTGAGCTACGAATGCCACGCTTCAAACCGTGAGTTTAATCATACTTGGATCTATATTGCCCATCCAGCTTTGCCGCTCGTACGGAATCCACCAATACGGAACAGTAAGTTGACTGCCCAAGCAGGATTTCCTAAGCAATTATCTAGAATCCACCATCTCCTAAAAGCGACAGTTTTTCTCCTAAAAACCACAAATGGACATTTCATTTTGAATTATGAGCCATGTCTTAGGAGTTTTTTCACTGTCTGCTCTTTTTGCTCAGTCACACTGCTGGCTCGTGTTAACTGACATCACCACATGTGAGTGTATTACTTGAAACAGGCGAGTAATCGCCTACAATTGTGTTAACGACTCCTTTGAAATGTTCGGGTGTGCCGATGTATTTCTTAAATACTATGTATCAATAGTGAGTTCAAAGGCGTTTGCCTATATTTCCTTTAATAAACCTGACTTGACAATTAGGCTGACTTAATTATTTAGGAGGTTTGGCAGATTTGGTTAATTTAGTTGACCCAACTGTGAAAAAAACTCGCAGTATTTGGCGGGATTCGGAGGTGAAGAGTCCCGTAGTACATTTCCTGCAGCTGCTTAATCAATTGGGCTTGGGGGATGAGGAATCAAAGCCTTTCGGGTTTTAGCAACTAGGTATACACAAACAGTTCGACCATCGCG